GGTGTGTCTGTGTCGGTAATTAGTACACAGATTAAATATCAACTCACAGTCAATGCTGTCTGAATAGCTGAAAGGCCACTACAAATACAAAAAAAAAAAAACCCAACCAACAACCGACCAAACCCAACATGGAAATCTATGAGGATCCTGGAGTATCATCTGGAAGCTGGTTCCCCAGAAGGAACTGTGTCTAGATATTTGTTAAAGCTGCACTCAAACTTATTTCTGTACAGAATGCCTAACTGCTGAGTCTGGGAAGAAGAGGAAGTTGAGCTGCAAAATGTGTGCTTTTCTTACTGCTCTTCTGGGCACTTTTCAGATCATGGTTAGTCAGTCATGCTGGCCAGATGAAAAATCTATCAGTTACTGTAAACAGCCCCGCCTGCAAAACTCTCAGGCAGAGAGGGACGTTTTTTATTTTTCCAGTAAAAGCCTCCCATTTCCTCAGCACTTGGGAAGTGTTTGTCACTTCTCTGTGTACAAGGGATGGTTCAACAACCCTTAAAACCCGTATGACTTTTCTGAATGAAAGTCAATTGGTAGGTGAGGAACCTTACACCAGTCCTACACCTACGTCCTACACCTCCTGTGAGGTGATCCCTGCCAATCCTAGGGCTGTGCCACATCACCCCTCCTGGCTTTTCGCCCAGGCACCTATTCAGAGCTGGCTCACCAGAGGTGGTCTCTATAGTCTGTGCAGAGATGGGCACCTCTGGATGGAGACTTGGGCTCATACACGCTGTGACTCACATTGGGAAATTCCTGCTTCTCTCCCCTGAGAGGAGGGAAAGCTTACTGAGACTCAGTCCTGAACTCACCTTTCCAGCTGGGATGAAATCAGTACTTGTGCTCCTGAGCAGCCATTCACGGAGACGCTTTCTCACCCTGCATCCTTTCTGAACAGCGAGATGGAGAACTATGCAATATTCCTCTGCACATTGAACAAATACTGTGATTGCTGATCCAAAGGGCTTGTTTCCAATATGATTGTGATATAGGTACAGAATCTGTTGCAGAACTGAGGGGGACTGGGGTGGGATTAGACATGCAAGAAGGAATGTGGGCCGGTTCCTTTTCAGCTTGCTGGTAGTGGTCTATGCAGAGAACTTCCCAGCCAGAGCAAAACTGTTTGCCCACCTGTTAATCCACCCTCTCATACTGTCTAGAATATTCACACTGAATCTTTCTGAATAAAGAACTGAAGTAAATTCTTTTTCTGCATAAAGATTTAGTGCTACATTATGTAGACCTTCGGGTTTTCAGTTTTAATCTGAACCTATGCAATACAGAGGCTTTTCCAATAGATGGGGAACCCTGCAGAGGCTAGGACAGGGCCAGCTAGAAGGCTGGGCTGTGGCCAGTGTTTTCTCCAGAGTCATATGTTCCCATTGAGCCCTGCAGGCTGTTTTTCCTGGTGAGAGCAATAGCTATTAGCCAGCAAAGCCTGGCTGTGGTTAACCACAATCTCTCAACAAAGAGAAGTTACCCAGTGTTTCTCCATTAAGCAGATTTCAAATACTTGCTAAGTTGCCATGGCAAGCTCCTAGTTGCCCTTGGTTTGAGTCAGGTGTCAGATCACCAAAACCATCATTCCATATTTTGCAGCCCATCGAACCAGAAACCCACTGAGCCAGTGTGTTCCAAGTCAGCCATTAGCTCAGCATTTGTCAAGGGAATCAATATTTGTGACAGAACTGAGATGGGCGTCACTGGAGGGAACAATATGTTGCTGGATTATCAGTGATTTCAGTGTCCTAACATTTATTCCAATGCTCTCATTTCCCTGTCTTCTGCACCATGCTGCAGTGATGCCATCTAGCAGTGAAGCTGAGCAGGAGAGGAGGGAAGTAGCACCTTTTATGTGTTAGTGCTGGAGCAGAAAAAGGAACTTTTCAGTTGGGCTTTAGGCTACATTTCCTCCCTGAGATCCAGAAACCCTTCTAAACTTCATTCATGTCTTAGCTGTCCCATGAGATGCAATCCTGACACCTTTCAGCAAACGTGTTAAATTAGGAAGGGAAGGCACGGGAGGCACAGGAAGGCTGATAGGTCCAACTTTCCTTTTATTGGGCCCCTTATTAGTTGATGCAATAAGTGGCTTTTCCCAAGCATCTAGGAGCTGAAGGCATATCTGAGATTTTTTTCATTCATGGTATTTCCTCTAAAAGCCTAGGACCCTGAAAATGCCTCCAGTATCCCAGTCCAGGAAAACATCTCACTCCTTATTTCCTTATTTCAAACAGCAAATATTTCATATCCTTAACTAATTAGGAGGTACAAATCACTGGCAAGGGAAGCAAGGTCTTAAAAGAGCCAAGGTAAAAAATGGCCTGTGAAAATTATAGACCAGCTTGGGTGACACTGAGGGTGTTCAGCGGTTAATATGGTGCCAGTAAAGTCCCCAGCCTCTCCTCTCAGCCTGAATAAGAAAAGAGCCGTTGTCCTTCTTTCAACTGCTGTTCCAAGATAAATGACATTGAAAATTAAGAAAAGCAAACCTTTCTCTACAAACGTATTTATAGTGGCAAGCTCAGTGAATGAAAGAACACTCGCAGTGCGGAGCCAGGCAGGATCCGTGTTAGCAATCAATCAATAACTACAATCCCACACCAGAAATTAATAGGGCTCCTATTAACAGGTTCCAATTAACAGGGTTCCGCCGGCACTAGAGCTGGGCCAGGAATAACGAAGCCCTGGCCATCAGAGAGCGAGGCAAGGCTGCGGCAGGGCTGGAGGGAGCAGGATGCCGCCGTCAGCCTTCTCCCGTGGGCATCCGCCCTCTCCCGTGGGCAGGACCCG